GCATTTTTCCTGTTATGGTACGCGTTTTTTCTCTTCTGCTGTCTTTTTCTTTTTCGCTGTGCACATTTCCTCCTCTGGTTTTTTCCCCCTTTATACTGTGCATTTTTCTTTTTATAATTAGAATTTTTCTTCTTCTGATTTGCCTTTTCCTTTTATGCTGAACTTTTCTTCCTTAAACTCAAATTTCTCACCATCCTCATCCTCAATTTCCTTCATCCCCTATTCCTAACGAGCCTATATTATATAGTTGCCCATAACTTATCTTCACTTTTCACTGCCCCTTTACGTTTCTCACCATCTTTCATCAATTTCTCACCATCTTACATCAATTTCTCACCATCTTACATCAATTTCTCACCATCTTACATCAATTTCTCACCCTCTTACATTAATTTCTCACCATCTTACATAAATTTCTCACCCTCTTACATAAATTTCTCACCATCTTACATCAATTTCTCACCATCTTACATAAATTTCTTACCATCTTACATCAATTTCTCACCATCTTACATCAATTTCTCACCATCTTACATAAATTTCTCACCATCTTACATAAATTTCTAACCATCTTACATCAATTTCTCACCATCTTGCATCGATTTCTCACCATCTTACATAAATTTCTTACCATCTTACATAAATTTCTCACCATCTTACGTCAATTTCTCACCATCTCATCTCCATTTCTCACCATCTTACATCAGTTTCTCACCATCTTACATCAATTTCTCACCATCTTACATCAGTTTCTCACCATCTTACATCAATATCCCACCATCTTACATCAATTTCTCACCATCTTACATCAATATCTGACCATCTTACATCAATTTCTCACCATCTTACATCAATATCTCACCATCTTACGTCAATTTCTCACCATCTCATCTCCATTTCTCACCATCTTACATCAGTTTCTCACCATCTTACATCAATATCCCACCATCTTACATCAATTTCTCACCATCTTACATCAATATCCCACCATCTTACATCAATTTCTCACCATCTTACATCAATTTCTCACCATCTCAATTTCACTTCTCACCATCTTACATCAAATTCTCACCATGTTACATCAATTTCTCACCATCTTACATCAATTTCTCAGCATCTTACATCAATTTCTCACCATCTTACATCAATTTATCTCCATCTCATCTCCATATCTCACTTGTGTTCTGGAGGAGTAGGAACAGCAAAAATCGTTAGATATAAGGTATGATTATTCTCATCCTTTCATCTCCATTTCTCACCATCTTACATCCATTTCTCACCATCTCATCTCCATTTCTCACCACATTCATCTTTCCCTCAGTCTCCCCTTGCCTCCCCCTAGGCCAGGCGTATTGCGTGCTCCGGCTGCCGTCGCGCACGCGAGCCTAGCCGCGGCCGAGGGGGAAAGTTCAGCTGTCCCGGATTTGACAGAACGTGCGAGAAACGTCGTATCTTTTTATCACATAAATCATTTATAGTATAATTGCCTAACTCATTTTAAATATAATTATAACTCTGACACCTCGTTGGGATCTTTTAATATGTATATCAGATGACGAATGTATTCTCATCAAAAGGATAAATTGAAAATAATTTTCAACGACCTAGCTTATCTAACGACTCTTCAATTTTGGTTATAACTTATCAATGGATTACAATTGGTCAGATATGAGGGATACACTAAGGATTGTCTGCAATTCCATGAGCACTCCTGCCAAAATAAATATTGATTTCGCTTAATCAATGTTAATTCACCGTAAGAAATATTATTATTATTATTATTATTATTAATATTATTAATATTATTATTATTATTATTATTTTATTATTATTATTATTATTCTTTTTAATTAATATAAGATCAGTATAAATTTCTGCACACATGAACTTAAGAACGAAGAAAATTCAATTGTAATTATCTATATTTTAAGTAAAAAGTTTTCAGAGACCAGCTTCATCGTCAGTTTAACATTCTAGAATCCTGTTATGAACAATTGAAACAACTAATTTTGAAAAATATTTACAAAACAATTCGGCAGCTAAAAAAAGAAGTACCAGGAAAAAGTGTTCATTACCAACCTACTGGAAACCTTCACGCGCATCCACCTCATTCGGCTGGCACATTCACTCACTACGGGGCGACTTTTCTATTACAGAAAATATCTTTAAAATTGGTTTTCCTTCTTTGGTCCTTACAGTTAGGAATCTCTGAATTTCTGCAATTTTTCAAGCAAAAATCTTATTTGTGAAACATTTATAGCTCATGTCCACTTGACGCTGCTCATTGATTGATTCCTAATCGTTAACCGTTAACTTTACTGTTTAACAGTTAAATTGGGGACGAATTTCTACTCTAAAAATCAAGTCTCACAAATTTGTATAGTCGACTTCTCAAATGTCGAATATATGATGGAGTACCAATAACATTGAAAACATTGTGATCTTATTTATTTTCATTGCTTACAAATGCGTATTAAATTTGCGATCCAAGCAATCGAATGAACTTAATAGTCGCAATCAGTTGCAATTTGAACAAGCTTGTTGCTATTAATTAATATGCTCATCTCAATGATTGAATATATTTTTAATCGGAAATGCAATGTTACCTGCAGATTTCTCATTGATGATTTGAATCATATAAATCCGACTCAAATACTTCTTAATTCTGCTCGTTCGTGAAGTTTTCGTTGCGTGTTCAGAAATAACGCATATTAACAAATATATTTTTAATCGGAAATGCAAAATTGTCAGCTTATTTCTCAATTATCATTTGAATCATATAAATCCGACTCAAATACTTCTTAATTCTACTCGTTCGTGAAGGTTTCGTTGCGTGTTCAGGAATAGGGTTCAAACTTCACGGGCCGCGTGCGAGAAAGTTTCGCGTTGGTTCTGCAGGGCAGAGCTCGCTGGAGCCATCACATGACAAGATAAATAGGTTTCTCTGAGCAATCACCCCGAGCAATCACCATGGGCCTGTGTCTGCCACAATCACGCAGGAATTTCCCTTGGTTAATAGAGCGATGAATCGAATACGACACGATATAGCCAATCTTGAAACATGGAGACTAGCGTCGAATTGAGCCCTGCACGACATAAGATGATTTCGAACACGCAAATCTGGAAGCGCGGAATAGAATATAAAAGGATTCATAGGCCGAAGAATGATATTCAACAATCTGGATCAGTGGGATGGCGATTCCAATATTTTTAGCGTTGCTCAAACAAGATTATTGACCAATACAGATTTATTGTTGATTTTACAAGATTTTATTTATTTACTTATCAAATATATTAAATTTCAGCTACTTTTAAATGTCAAAAAGATCACAAAATGTATACATTTTGTATTGTCTTAGACTATTATATATATTACAAAATAATTAAAAAATATAACTCAGTACTCACTGCAGTGAGTGACAGAGAGGGCATTTTCTCGTCGACGAAAATTTGAGGCCGCGGACGGACGGACAGACGGACAGACAGACAGACAGATGGACATGGCGAGCACAATAGTGCATTTTTTCCATAACTGAGAAAATGCGCTAAAAACACTCAATATTTGCCCGCCTTTTTCGGCAAATCAACATTATTCGTATTTGAACATAATCAAACAATATGTCGTATAAAATGTCTGAATTAAATTCTGAAGGGGATGTAATTAAATGTCTAAATTGAATTGTTAGGTGAATGTAATGACAAATATAAAATTTTCAAATATTTTAAATATTGGGCTAATATTTTAATTTAAATTTTAAAATACAGATTTTTTTAGTCTAAATCTGTAAATAATCGTTAATTCTTATTGTGTAGAGAAACATCTGATTGCTTCATAAAATCAACTTGATATATTCACACTTTAACGACTTGATACAGTTTCATTCTGGTTTCATTTTAGCATTGCCTTTAATGACGACTGGTCAAGTAAATCTTCGCCTTTGTAAAGCTCCTGTGTACAAATACTTGATCGCATGACCAGTTATTTCATCTTATATTGGATTAAAGTAAAAATTATGGTTGAATTTTAATATTGTCACACAAAGTAAAGGCATTTTATTGAAACGTGTCGACTGTTATTATTTAAATTGGGTGTCAGTAAGTAAGTAAGCTAAAATAAAGTTTTCGCTTCGTGGAAATTATTATTATCATTAGTTTACGACTTCAAGATCTCGAGCGAGATTTTCATCCCACGTCAAGTTTAGAAAAAATTAGGAACTATTGGGCTCACAATTTCAGCCTGTCGGAAATGATTAGTAGCATAGAATCTATATAGTCACAATTTTTATTTTGCTAAAATGTTTTAATTTCTGTAAAATTTTTTCAAAATTCAATTCATATTAAGATGTATGACAGAAATGCATAAAATAATACTTTACATGACTACTATTGGCGCTTACATTATTTTTTTAAAAATAACGGCTCAAAAAGAAGGCTCTTTTGTGTAACTGTTGATCCTGCCATTAGCAGCAGTACTCATTTAAACACCTCCAATTATTTAACGAAAAGTAAAATAAAGCTCAAGCTTATATAGTAACGAAATGCGTTTATTCCGCCTTTTATTTATTTCTGTTTCATGTGTGAAAACGTTTCTAAATGTTATTGTTTGCTTCTTGATGGAATATTCATCGTTATTCCTCAACAAAATAGGAACACAGCCGCACATAATAAAACTTTATCTATTTCTGCTAACGTTTGAGGACTTACTGTAACAGTTACATGATTAATTATAATTATATAATTTCAAGTGTCGTGTAAATCATTATTTAAATCACTTTCAAATTCACTGCATGTTTGACTTAGTCCCAAATAAAAAGAATCGTTTGCACTGAAGCACCAGAAGTAACATAGAATTTTGGCCGCATTTGCCTGTGTTCATAAAATTTCATGTGAAGTGATTTCCTTCGAAATAACATCTGAAAATAAACAAAAAAAGAAAATTCGTCGAAGCATTTTTCAAGACTGATTTTTCAAGAGAATTCTAAATTTCTCACCTCGTCGCCATGGAATTTTTTGAAAAATTCGATGACCCGTGGACGGCATTTGACTACGAAGAAGAAGCCAAATTGCTGACTGCGTTCAACATTACAGCGTACGCGACTACTTTGACAGCATCAAGCGTAGCTTTGATCGTGGGTATGATATTGGGCAAGCTTTTAGTGCTAGGCGCCCTAGCGCTGATCCTTCTGCTCTGCACAGACACTGATTCTTCGTATTCTTCATATCGACGCTCACGCAGCAGCCATGATTTCGGCGGTGAGTTTAGGATACATTCAAGTTCCACTAAATTACTGATAATTTTATGCTTATCTACATATGTTAATAAATTTTACTGATAGCAGCCATGATTTCGGCAGTGAGTTTAGGATAAATTTAAGTTCCACTAAATCACCGATAATTTTATGCTTATCGAAGTATGTTAATAAATTTGATTGAGAGTAAAGTTTCTTTCACATTTTTATTATCATATATCAAAATTCAGCAATTGGTAATTTCTAGGGATAATTTAAAATATTTAACCTAATCGGGTTAAAATAGGAGTAAGTGCTGGTATGAACTTTCTAGAAGATGTACTAATAGTCAAACATAGTTGTTTATTTAGCTACCCACAATCAATACTTAAAGCAATCCATAAAGTTCTTCATCAACTGACCACATTCAAGATAGAATAGATGAATTATTAGATGAAATTTCCACAACCAAGCAATATGTTAATAGAACCACGTATGTTGATTGATTTCAGATGGCTTATTCCCAGAGTCTTCCGTAGAAATTATTTCACTTCTTGAGTCCTTGGAAAGAATATATGAGGACGACTCGAGAGTGAAGGGCAACTACAGCAAAGACCGACCGTCTGCTGCCAGAGACAAAAACCGAACATCTAATGCCAGAGACAAAAATCGACCGTCTGCTGCCAGAGACATAGACCGACCATCTAATGCCAGAGACAAAGACCGACCATCTAATGCCAGAGATAAAGACCGACCATCTAATGCTAGAGACAAAGACCAACCATCTAATGCCAGAGACATTGACCGACCATCTAATGCCAGAGACAAAGACCGACCATCTAATGCCAGAGACAAAGACCGACCGTCTAATGCCAGAGACAATGACCGACCATCTAATGCCAGAGGCCAAGACCGACCATCTAATGCCAGAGACAATGACCAACCATCTGATGCCAGAGACAAAGACCGACCATCTAATGCCAGAGACAATGACCAACCATCTGATGCCAGAGACAAAGACCGACCATCTAATATCAGAGACAAAGACCGACCATCTAATGCCAGAGGCCAAGACCGACCATCTAATGCCAGAGGCCAAGACCGACCATCTAATGCCAGAGACAAAGACCGACCATCTGAAGCCACAGACAAGGACCGACCATCTGATGCCCGAGACAAAGACCGATCGCCTGCCGGGAGAGCAAAAAAGTCAGAAAGTGAAGTTGGTGCAGCCGTGCTGTCATTTCTCGCAGAACACGGACTCCTTGGCAACAAAACACTGCCTTTCAAGGTAGCGTCACAGGCCGTGAAAAGAAATTCTCTTAAAATGGATAAAGTGAATGAGACTGCACAGAACCAAACTAACGACATGTCAATAAGTAAGATCAAGGCAAAGGGAAATCGAACGGAAGACTCTTTTACTGAGATTCCAAAGCAATTGAATAGAATCAATGCAACAAAAGAAAAGCTCACTGGAAAAGAAGGTAATGTGGGGTATGAAAATTCTTCCTCTTTAAGGAGAAATATATTCTCTTATGAAGATGACCGTAGATCGGAAAATTTATCAAAACGAAGTAAAGGTAGTTCAATGTGGAATACCCTTCTACGACGCCTAGGTAGTGGGAATGATGCAAATGAAACCAAAGAAAATTTCACTGTAAAGGCAGAAAGTGTTTCAACCCATAAACCTAAACGAGTTTTTCACGATCACCGATTTTTTCACAAAAGACCGCTAATTTCTTTGCTTAGAATTAGTTCTTCTGACACAAAATTAACTGCAAAACCGGAATTTGGTCTAAGAAGAAATATTGAAAGCTATCCTTCAAAAATAGAAAAATTTCAGGTTGAAACCGACTCTCCAATTTTCGAAATAAAAGGCCGTAATACACACACTATTTCTGCGCCGTTCATGGACATTGCTATTGGTAACGACGATGCGGTTGACCACGTACAACGTTCGAGGAGTGGCACGCGGGAAATTGCAGTGAACAAAATAGTGCACGAAAACGAACATTCTTCTGAACCTTTGAACGAATTGAAGCCATCGAGATTTGATGAGAATCTGTACACTGAATACATTGATGTTCCTGAACAGCTTTCGTACGACGGCGAAAAATATTCTACCGGAATTACATCATTACTATACGATATTTTAACTCAGTCAGAAAGGGATTTAGGCCTCAATATCGGTACCTCGGGTAAATTTCAAGGTAGCAAAGATGAAAAACGAATCGTAAATTCACAGAAAAAACCAAATGACCCCATAAATGACAAAGGCCCCGTTACTGACAAAGGCCCCACTATTGACAAAGTACCCTCTACTGACACAGGACCCGCTACTGACGAAGGCCCCGCTACTGACAAAGGCCCCGCTACTGACAAAGGCCCCTCTACTGACGAAGGCCCCTCTACTGACGAAGGTCCCGCTACTGACGAAGACAAAAGCACATTCGAGAGACAAGCTGCCGACGCTTGCGCTCTGCGGTTGGCGTGTGAAGCCGTTTTGCGTGACCGCATCAGCGGAGAGAAGTCGGTGATCTCTCGAGCCCTGACGTGAGTGCGTGTCGTGTTGCGTGTCATGTAGAGCACCCACGCAGCCCTTCGTGCTGTGTGTCATGTAAAGCACCCGTGCAACCCGCCTACTATGTTTCCCTTTATTAAATTAATTTGCTACAACCACTATATTCCTTTTGACCTACGACTTAATTGATATCCCGTTTTTTTCATATTGTAGTTACTCAATATAACTTATATTTATACACTGTCTCGTAAACTAAGAATTGTTGAAAAAATGTCAATTGACTGACTTCTTATTGAATTTATCACATCGTATTCACATGAAAATTTCATATTAATAACATTGCAGTTCAATTTTTTGTGACAGGTTATTAACTCCAAACGTGATGCTTGGCATGTCAGCCGCTGATTACGCTGCTGCTGACGAGCTTATCGCTGCAGCTGAGGCTGGCAGACGGCATCAGGATTGCCAACTCTACAAACACTTTTGTCCTTACTTCCCCAACTCTATTTCTTACTTGACATCCAGATATTAATTATGCTTCCTCGTTACTCTGTTCTACAACATTTATTCTACAGACACTTTTGTCCTTATTTCCCCAACTCTATTTCTTACTTGACATCCAGATATTAATTTTTCAATGCTTCCTCGTTACTCTCTTCTACAATATTTATTCTCTTTCATGCTTCGTATCATCTATAATAAACATTATCTCTTAGTTCCTGTGTCTGAAAGTTTGCTTGTCAAACGATTTATATGATAATAATACTTTATCCTATTTATGTATTTATTTATTTATTTATTGAAAGAAAGGTTATCTATGAAACTTAACAGTTGATGTGTTCGTATAAATAAGTTATAATTCTTCATAGAAATGAATTTTTGCTGCTCGCATTTTTCAGCAATATAATGATAATGTTAATAAACGCATTTAAAAATTAACCTCTGCAATAATACGTACGAATTTATTTACAGTTTGAATGTGATAATCGTTCACTAATTGCCTGAAAATTTCTCGGTCAATATTTACCTTTTTACATAAACTTTCCCGCAAAATAAATGAAGGCATCAAAGTCATTCAATCGGCATTGACGCATTCTTCGTTTCATAAGCACATTATGAAATTAATGATTGGAAGATAGGAACCTATTAACGCTTTTAAAAACATAACGTCGCAGTGTCTAACATTACAAGTAACGAGAAAGTTAGAAGCGTCGTAGAAAATTCAACTAATTCAAAAGCTTCAAACTTAAGTATAGTCCCCAGGACAATATATTTACATACTAGCCTCACGAGAGCGCCTGTACAATCGAAAGTGACCACGAGAGTAAGATGAGTTATATGAGCGAACGAGAGAAGTCGTATTTAATTGAAGCCTTCGTGCTACGCTAGGAGACTATAATATACGCTCTAGGGAGAAGACCTTTAATGGCTGGGAGAAGATCATGCAACTACCATCTTTAACAGTGTAAAAGCCAACGAAAGTTATTATATATTATGTTGATATTCATAGTTGTGCGTTCAGTTGAATATAATGGTAGATGGATACCCAATCTGCCCATAAAATCATGCCATGATATGTTTTTGAAGGTCTTTATCATCGCATACATAAATGCAGCAATCGATGATTCATGCAATAAAAAGCAGGCCTTCAAAATTACTCTTATGAATAATCGAATAATCGTGAGCTTCGTTGAGGTGAAATGGAAGTTTTAAGCTAGAATTTGCTTTCTACGTCTGAGGGATAATTCAATCGAGGTGCTTGATCAAACTTTTAATTTTACTTAAATTTTATTTGAATCTCATATAGGTTCCTTCACTATCTTGAAGTCCATCTCTGCACTGCTATCATTAAAAACAGAAAACTAATATCTTATTTACTAATACTAATATTTTCTTACAAACATATATACTTCTTTTCAAAACTTATCGGAAAGAAGTTTTTGTTTGGCTAACTCACTTTCTGAGGGCCAACATCCGTTTGACTTTCGATGTCCGGAGGCTCAGTCTTGAGCTGCGTAATCCGTAGCCAGGGATGCTCTCGGGATCACAAAACTGAGGCCGAGACAGACGCTTTAGGCCGAGACAGACGCTTTCGACTTCACTGTATGTATGCTACTGCCGTAAGGGAAAGCTGTAGAAACTAAAGCAAGGTGTGTAATGAGACGCATATGGTCGTCCGGTAGAGCAAGGATATACGATTATGTGGTTTTCCCGAACTTGTCTTGTCTCCGAAAACAGATCTATATTCTCTCTACGAAATCAATTAAAGAAATAATAAATCCGACATTAGAACATATCAAGAAACTTAGTTAGTTCAATACCATTTGGCATCACGATAAAACTGTGAAGTTGTCATGAGATGTGACTATTTAAATTAGACATCATTTATAAACGTAATTTCATAAATTGGTTAGGAATTATTTACTTTATTATTAATATTATATAACATCGATATGTTATAATATCTCTTATTATATTAATATAATATTTAATAATATTTACTTTTTTTAATATTAAGAAGCAGTAACACAATTAATTTACCGTAGCATACTTTATTTAGTTGTTATTCCTGACTGAAATTTCAGTACAGTCCACAAATGTCATGCACTGCAATAAAATCTATAAAAATTAGACAGTTTCCCAACTAATCTATAGAAATATAGTTTGGAGTTACAAATTTCCAATATATTGTGGCGCGTTCTTGCATGTAGCAATTAACATGGCATTATAGTGAGGTGCCTTCAATAGTGAAATGCAACAAGTTACCTCTGAAATTTGCACTTCATCCTTCAATGTTTGGGTCCAAAACTTCACAATTCCTTGAATTACACGGTTCACTCTGAAGTGAACAGTCTGCTGTCAGACCTTCACTAGATGATCACATACCTTCTTAGATCTAAAATCTATAACATTCTTAACACTCAGATACATCTCACAAAGCACACGAATTTTTCTAAAAAAAATGTAACAAGAAATTTAGAGTCATGATTCAAGTTGAACAAAAATTTCGCCTTGTGCTCAGAAATTTTAGTTTTACCGAGGACTTTTGAATTATAATAACAATAACGCCATTTCCATTATGTTGAAAATATTTTTTCAGCACGCCTCCCACACTTCTGCTGATTGCAAATTTTTTTAATTCTCGTATTATTGCAAACACGGTTAATTCGATCACATTATCACTAAATATTTTCCTCCAGCCACTCGTTCTTTTTATTATTATTATTTTCATCCAATCATTATTACTAAATATTTTCCTCAAATTCTCACTCTGAAATATAACTTTCCTCTTCTAATTTCAACATTTCTACCTCAGCACAGCACATTACTTCCGAAGGCCCTTGTTTCCGTTAACGCACTGCCACGTCAATGTTTCAGCACCAACGTATCACAGCTGCTACACATGTGCAGCACCACGAGGTACTTCTGTACTTGTGCACCAAGACAAGGTGCACATGTGTACTTGTGCATCTGCACCCGAACCGCTCACACATTTGTGTTCGAGTCCACACATGTGTGGTAGTGGCTGCTGCCTCTTACCTGTGCTTAGTACAGGTGGACGGATAACACCTGCAATGCACTCATATGCACCTGTTCCTGTTGCCCAGTGACTGCACCCATCTGATATACTAGGTGCATTCTTATGGTGAGTCTTAAATTTCACAACTCTTTTAAATATTTGCATTTGTTAATCAATATCACTGAAAATAAGTTTTTTAATCCTAAATCTACAAGTCGCATTTCCAAGCATTTCTTATGCATTTTACCGGCTACAAGAAATGCATCAATAACGATAACTTATGAAGTCCTACTGTTCAAAAAATCTGCCAATTTCGTAACTAGTTGCAAATTATCTACCATCTTTCATTCCGTTTTAGGTGTTCTCCATGTGCAATTTTGGGTTAACAATTTCTCTCCACTTTTGGGTTAGCAATTTATTTCCGAAGTAACCTATATATGTTCAATGAAAATTATACTCACTTACTTATAAAAATTAATTATAATATTATCCTTATATTATAATTATACTACATAATTATACTTAAAGTTTCGTTTTCAGTGTACAAGTGATACCACTTCCTTCCTTAAATTTCTGTAATTTTCTTCGCCATAATTAATAGGCCATTGAAATTATACTTAGCAATGATAGAAAATTTTGACTTCCGATACTGGCACCCGTATCACATAAAATTTACTTTTCACTTTAAAAATTTTCAAAACTGTGCGCAAACTCGCTGTCTAATTTGAGTTTCAATAGTAAATCAGCTATCTCTTCCGTATGTTGTTAATATAAATACACATTAAATAAGGCTTGTTGCTCCCGTTATCTAGAAAGAATCTTAAATTGAACCTAAGGGGTCATGTAAGACACTGCTCTATACTTTATAATATCAACAGGTTATTATTATATGCTTTACAACTAAAACTATAATGACCAGGATATCTCGAACGCACTTTACATCGATACGTGTATGTTGTATTTTTTAAGTGTGGATAATGCATGTTCAATTTATCAATGCTCCGAATACATTTATTCTTTGATATTACAGAACAAATGTACGATAAGAAGTACTTTGCGGGATATGCTTTCAGAATTAATGAATAATTATTTGGATACAGCGATAACCTTCTAAACTAAACGAAGTAATCTAATTTTCTATAACTTTTGTTCACTCTATCTTCAGTTATGCTGCCGTCATTTGTTTTTTAGAACGAGGAAACTTATCACATTGAGAACTATAAAAATTACTTTCATGTTACCGTCTAATAAACATAATCTATTGAATCCATCATAAAGATTGATCTTTATAGATTATATGCAATAGATTTCTGATTTTTAAAGGTCAAAGATTGAATTTCTGAAGTTTGCTTTTTTCTGGCTAGGTTAGTTTATTTACTTATCAAAGATGGCGTTAATAGCGTATGTATTTTGTTTTAGTGTATGTATTTTATCTGTAATATCTCCATTAATATTCTATTTTTCATTACAGATTCATTGCACATCGCTCCCACAGGATGGATTTTTTCGAAAATCTAAAACTTTGTCTATAAATTAACGGTATAAATACAACGCAAGAAGAATAAAGAGGCTCGAGCGTGAACAAAGTGTACTCGGTCAGTAATTTTATCACTTCCCTGGTGTTTTCTTTGATATTATAATATTGTGAGCGCTGAAAATATCGGTACGTTTTAACTGTTAACATTTAAAAAAGGTACTACAAGAATTTACACACAAGAGAATAAATTCCGAGATACTGCATCGCAAAATGGACGTGCTTCCTTACGACTATAACTTACTGGACGACTTGGAAGAAGGACGCACAATAGCCATTGCGTACAACGCTTCAACTACAGTTTTCTACCTGACCATTGCCTTGGGGGTGTTCTTCACGGCCACGGCTATCGGTCTGATCATTTACTACTTCACGACGCTGGGCGGGGGCAGCTCGACTTTTGGACGAAGTTTTGATGATGGCTGGTCAGGTGAATATACTGATGGATATATTTGCTTGATATTTATGTTTAGTATTAGACTCGACTTTTGGACGAAGTTTTGATGATGGCTGGTCAGGTGAATACACTGGAGATGGACCTATTTGCTTGATATTTACATTTAGTATTAGACTCGACTTTTGGACGAAGTTTGATGATGGCTGGTCAGGTGAATATACCGGGGTTGACATAATTTGCAGGATATTTACATTTAATATTAGATAGGGTAGAACGCGGAAATGTTTAGTAACGTAACCATAGTGGTAGAGCGAGATATAGTGCAAACATGTTGTTTTGGGGCATTTATGCGAATTTTATTACTGTTCAGGTACCACAAAAGATTGGAGAAGCACATAAAATATAGTCCTGACGTCCTAATGGCATTCGGTCGTAATTCTGTCCAGCAATATAAAGGCTACTCTAAAAAATTCAAACATGACTTATTAAATAATGCCTCATTAAACAATGGCTTTGAATCTAAGGAGCTATCATAGACTCGTAGACCGTAGTCGCCTAAATCACAACCGCTTTTGTCCGGTGGGAGAGGTTGGATGACTCATTTACTTGAGTCGTTTGCACTCAATTAGTTCGATAAAAATTAGCAAACCAGTCATTCTTAATTTAAAATGTAATTGTGTAAACAATCTTCCTTGCTGCCAAAGCTTCTTCACGGAGTTAATACTGCAAATTTCGAGCAGGCTTCAGTCACATCGGCCAAAAGAGCGAGCGGTAATTGCAAAATTTCAACTGATCCAACATTAGTAATGAAAAGAGTATGCACTCGTAAATCGGCTTCAAAAAAGCCGAAACAGTTACTATTGTCCGTTAAAAAACGGCGTGTGGTTTATATGCATAACGTTTAAATTTATAACGAGTCCGGTTATAACGGTCAGCATTAGGCAGAAAATCGTCGAACAAAATATCAATCTATAAATTTTCTGTTTTTTTTTTCGTAACAAAGCATTCCCTACTTTCTCTCTCATACTCATTTTTTCGCTCAATTTACTTATGCGTTTGCATATTTTGTCTATTAGAATGTTCCTAGTCTCCCCTGATCCGAGACCGTACTACCAAAACTGCTTGAGTAAAGCTAGCGGCGTATATATAAGTACCCGGGGGGCCGGTTTCTCGTCTATGGTAGGTGGGTTTCGCTAGAAAATCCATCAGTGATTGCTTGAAGGAATAAAAAACTCTTAACTAGTTTAGGAATTACGGCCCATGTTCTACCCCTCTTTCTCACCCCTTATTCCATTCACGACAAATGAACAGAATATAATTTAACATATTTTATTTACCGTTATTCCCTCCCTCGCGCCCCGCCTTGTAAACACCCTTACCCCCTCCCCTAGCCCCAAACGCTCGGGTAGACACGCTGCCGTGGCTGCGGGTGCTCACTGACAGAACATATTTACCATATATTTTTTACCACTACTCCCTCCCCCGGACCCCAGTATATAAACACCCCTACCCCCTACAGCCCCCAACGCGCGGGTAGACACGCTGCCGTGGCTGCGGGTGCTCGCTGACAGAACATAATTTACCATATATTTTTTTACCGTTACTCCCTCCCCCGGACCCCAGCTTGTAAACATCCTTACCCCCTACCCCCTACAGCCCCCAACGCGCGGGTAGACACGCTGCCGTGGCTGCGGGTGCTCACTGACAGAATATAATTTATCATATTTTATTTTACCGTTACTCCCTCCCCCGGGCCCCAGCTTATAAACAACCTTTATTTACCGTTACTCCCTCTCACGGACCCCAGCTTATAAACACCCCTACCCCCTACAGCCCCCAACGCGCGGGTAGACACGCTGCCGTGGCTGCGGGTGCTCACTGAGCTGGAGGCGGCGTTCGCGCTGTACGGCGTCAGCGGCCACGACCGCGAGTGTCAGGAGCGTCTTGTGTGTGAGGCGTACGCGCCACACGCACTCCACCTCAACGCTGACGCCGCGCTGCGCATCACCAGCATCATCGGGTGTGTAAATAAATAAAAGTATTAGTATTTTACATGCAACATTGTAAAACATGTGGCATGTAGTTTTGGATGACATTTTCACATTTTTTATGCCGCGATCACGTATTTTTTTATGCCGACAATCTATAATATGCTTAAATGTAATGTATTTTAAGATTGTTTGTATATTCAGTTTTTTCTTGCGCGTATTATTGATTTAATATGTATAGATGTCATGTATTTTAAAATAACATATATATCTTTATTTTGTAAAGTCAACTAAAAAATTTTGGTCCATTTTCTACCAGGATTATCGAGCGCGTAGAATAAGAAAACATTATTGAACATGAGTCATTTTTACAGAGGTTACATTCAGCTTTCAATGTCCAAAAGGTATAAAAAAATTCTATTTATCTCGTGCCACAAAATCTATTGTGTGGAATAAGAAAACATTTTCAGATATATAGCATGTAGAAGAAGCTTTGTTATTTGCTCCCTTTGGCACATCTGCAAAAAGACATCTGCCTTTCTTATCAAAAAAAAAACAAAAATTGTAAACTATTTTTTCTCTCAGAAAATTGACACCAGATGTGACGTCCGGACTGAGCGGCGAGGCGCTGAGTTCGACGCGGCGTTTGTTGTCCGCCGCAAACCGCGGACGAAAAAAAGCGGACTGTTCCCCGTACTCAAATGTCTGCAAGAAATTCAGTCTCAAGAAACTCGTTCTTATTGAAGACAAGGAACATTTTAAGAGACAACATTGAATTCCGGCGAAGACATAGATTAAACTTATGATCGAAATTTATAGCGGTAAAAAAATGATTCAACATTTATTTCCTTAGATTAAACTTATGATCGAATTAGATAGTATAGTGACAGAAAATTATTAACCAACATTTATTTTATAATTGTAGTCGGGTGTAAAAAAATATACCCGACGTTTATTTTTGATGGTCACAACTTGACTGATTGTCGATTGCGGACATGGGATAGATGAACTAAAATGATTTGACCATTTTGTGTAAAAAATATAAATTTACGGGAAATCGTACAAAATTTGTATTGTTTAAATTTATCATCGAGGTTAATTAACTTGGTAAGACGAATAATGATATAAATTAATTCATAACTTATATGTTAACCATAATGTTATACGCTGACTGTATCTGTTATGACTGTTGTGAGGAGAGACAAAATCGAAATGATATGAGGTGACATTTTAACAAAACTAAAATAAAATGCTCCGACGCACGGATAAAATAGATGTATAGGTAATGTTGTAACGAGGGGACTAAATGTAATTAAAATATTCTGAAAGCCGAATAATATTTCAGGGATCCAGTAGAACTGACGATTAAGTAAGGTAGTTGAGACAAATAAAATCAAGACTAATTTGATAACCTGTCAGCCAAATATAAAACTAATTAATAATCTTGAAGTCGCCCATGTTTAATAGCCAATATATTATTGTTCATTTCAATGGAAAACATATCTACAGCCATCTACATATCTATGTTACGTCATGGAAATAGCGTGTGATAAGTGGTTGTGGAACAAACGAATAGTGAAATGACAACTCAATTCAATGCAGTTAAAACGCATATTAAAATTGTATGGTATTTGGTAGACACGGAAATATTTTCGTAATTTTTCGCGTAAAGTTGACATTTAAAAAGTTACCTCACTTCCACCTCCAATATTTCATGAAAACAGTTTAGTAACTCCCGACTTTTTCACGTAAAGTTGACATTTAAAAAGTTGCCTCACTTCCACCTCCAATATTTCATGAAAACAGTTTAGTAACTCCCGACTTCATGAAAACAGTTTAGTAACTCCCGACTTTTTCACGTAAAGTTGTCATTTAAAAAGTTACCTCACTTCCACCTCCAATATTTCATGAAAACAGTTTAGTAACTCCCGACTATGCGTTATACGCGAGATGCTTCTCTGTCTTGAATTCATATTCTAATGTAAGAAAAGGGTTTTATTGATAAAAAATTATTTATTGTTTAAAATATTTGTATTTACTCACCGTGTTGGTCTAATGTAAGATTACATTAATAAATAATTTTAAACTCTAATTCTTGTTTCCACTCAAATCTATACTCAAACTGTTTGAGGTATTTTTTTATATAGATAGAAATGTTTGAATTCATGGTTGTAGATTGTACAATCGCAATTTATCTTTGCGGGTAATTGTAAATTATAATCATTCACAGTCATAAATTCGAAATTGAGAGCAACAATTTTTATAGAGTTTTTCCATTAAACGTTTTCTGTTGTTCAAACTTATTTCTTGGGTGACCATTGTAATTGTGCTCGGATGAATTCTTTCATCCAACTGTTGATAATTTAGATGCTATGATACTATACGATTATTGTATGCATTATAAAAGCGAAAGTGTTTCAGTGTGTTATAACATTGATATAAAAGTATACTATTCTTATTATTTACCAATGTGCCTGTAGTGAGCGCGAAAACGTTTCAATGATAGCAGTTATTTTGAATTTTGAATTGTGGTTCATGTTTCATTGACTTCACCTATTTTTAATGTCTTCGAAACATCTTCAAACAAAAAGTCTTTTGCGTTATTTTACGTTCTTTTATATTGAATAATATAAAATTGATTGCAAGGCCGAATCGATTCTGTATTACTTGTTGAGACACAATTTATTACTATAATAAAATCCTCCTAAGAATGCTTGAAGTTAACAATCAGTAAAGAATGAACCGAATAAAATAAACAACTGACGATTTTTCAGGAGCTGAAGTAAAGGCCAACGGCTGCTTTACGTAAAAATAAAGCCAAGAACAACAGCTGCTCATGAAAAATACTAGGTGGCAACTCTATGGCAACCAGCCTGTGGCAAGTGCATTTAGAAACAAGGCACGAAGGCAGTGTCCAACTTTCAGGTTTATTCTTTTACGAATGGGGTGTAAAATAGCTTGATGAATTCAACAAGGGTCAAACATTCACATTAGGAAACGGGCGTGGGTGTGAGCATCATGTGTAGGTTGAATGACGTATGACTCAGCTGAGCGCAAGCAAGTGACACCTACATTTTCTGCGTTCATTTAACCTATATTATGCGTCATGATTTGTCGAAACAAAAAATATCACTGGATATATTCATATCTTACTTTTAAATGAAACATTTGACACATGTTGCTTCATTTCAGAGTAATTTTTTGATAACTTTAGATTATTTGACGACGTTAAGAAGAGTGAAGATCTATTTATACATCGAGTCGAGACGTAACCGTTGTGGCAGTGAGGGTTCCGACGCGGTGTGGGTCGCAAGTGCGTGTGGGTATCGTCAAGTAACCAGTTGAAGTCTCTGGCTACTTGGGCATCAATATACACGAGAGAACGTTTTTTCATTGCAAAACTATCGATAATCGAATTATAAATGAAGAATGATTTTTGCCCAGTTCAGAAGTGAATGCATTTATCGCATGTCGCTAGTCGGCGCACATTCTTTTTTTTTTCATGGGCATAACTGTTGGCGGCTTTGGCTTGTTCGCCAGTTGCAGAAGCCAAGGCATGAAGTGGTTCTCGTGACGTCAATCATGTGATTATTCATCCTTATAAGAAGTGTGATTTAGAACTCCCCTTTATAACTGGTGATGCAAATGTTTAAAGTACAGTTATGCCGCCAAATTCATAATACGATTACTTCATCTACAAGAAAAAGAAAATATTTGAGTAATTATGATTATATTTTATTTGAAGTTGTAAATCGGCCTTCACTGCCTAGAAGCCAATAAGGCGAGAGAGTGACCAGTCGCATTCTAGGAGCTGCCAACTGCCGGAAATAATGATAAACGTGTTACGTGCTGTTGCATTACCGACGGGAAATAATTACCGCTCGAGTGTTAACCTGTGACTAGTGAACCCATTTTACTTCTAGTAAACCGCCTCATACTCTGATTTCTTACAAGTGACAAATTATAATTAGTTATTGTAAAAGTTTTTTATTTCATAGTGGTTTATAGTCGAAAATCCTTATTAGCTATATTAGAATCACACGAGAGTTCTTAACGTCTCGCATTACGTTATTTTGTGTCGAATAGGCCTATTACTGGAGAAGTACTTAATGATGATTTCGAGTAATCCCACATTAAATCGGTCAACATTTATTACATATATGAACAGTCTGTCAGGTCTCATCGTTGCTTCATCTGCCGGTAACAAAAAATTTTATTTTATAGAACGCTACACGGTGTACTTCTAAAATTAATCATTACAACAAAATATGGACGGACGACTTCTGCATGATAGTAGCCAGTTTAGGAAATGAAAATGGAAATAGTCGTTTTTTGAGTTTTTTTTTTCAATTTACGGAAATAGAATAGTGGACGTGAAAATATTGTGATGCGTTTGCCTTTTTTTAATATTCTTTCACTTTGATCTCACCGTAAAGTTCTAATTCAATTCTGATAGGAAAATTGATCGCTTCCATTAAATGCTGGTAACATAAGTATTGAAGAGCAATTCAGGTATCACATCACTGACAGTTATTTGTAGGGTGGAATTCCACCTATAAATGCTGATTCATGCATTAATAATCGATATAGCCTGGTAATTTGCTCTGTTCCAAAATAGGTTGTATAATGAAAGTCTGGTTTCTTGTTTTTTGATCCAAAATGATATGCGTACATGTTCTTATATTAAAACCTTTTAGTTACTGAATTCCACCGTGGCCACGTTAGTGCCTACACATTCGGTGAAGTGTATTTAAATAAAGCCTCAATTAATTGATCTAATTGAGATGAAAATCTAACTAACTACTTCAATTTTGTATTGATCATGTAATGCTTGATTATCGATCGTGATTTGTTGAGTTAACAAAATTTTTAGTTTAAATCGCTTGCTTATGCTTTAAAAATAAGTTGAAAACGAAAGAAATATGTGTACGTTGACGCCTACCCATAATTTTAACAAATTTCTTTCTCTTATCAATGAATATATGGGAATAATGTCATGACTGTTACTGATGGATGTTTATTCTAATGTTCGCAGCTCCTTAGTTCGCATAATTACTTTGATATATTGTGTTGTTTCATTTATAGCTTCTACGACCCATTTTCTCGATCACCTACACCTGTTCAATTTCGTAATTGGCTAAACACGCGTAGTGAATGCTCTCAAAAATAAACTCGAGTGACACGTTCTTGGGTTGAAATCGACTGTGGCAGTTCGCTCGTTTTTTAGATTTTGAAAATTTTCAATCCCAATAAGCCCCTGGGATTGAAAATTTGTTCACGTCACCAGGGGCTTTGTAGGTCATCCATTGTGTCGTTGTTGAACAACAACTCTATTTTTTTAGTGTAGATCTGATGTGGTCAAGATGTCGCCAAGTGTTGATGAGAAGTGATGATGGTGAAGGGGGGTGGGGGTGAGTGCCGACCCCCTTCTCAGTGATGGGGGAGGTGGGGGAAAGTTCACCTCCAGGGTCCTGTTGGAGCCGGCAGTGTAAAGACACGAATATGTTTCTCAGAAATTGACGAAAGTTATCAGACGTTGTTTTAATTAATATTCAGTTTAATTAGTACGTGTTTTACCTCAGTTCTGTATAAGGCTACTAGAACATTGATTTTATATATCATCAGCCGATCTTCGTTTATTCGAGTCGCTCTCGTCAACTGCGTTACACTGAAATTATTCTTCGTCTTCTGTCGCTAAAGGATCAACTGCCACGATTTCGTGGCGTCTCTTCTTGTGTAAAAATATTCGATACAGGTGAGAATATTTCTTCTCTTCTACTATTTAGTCTCAATGACGCGTCCTAAACTTATTTACTTTACTCACCTGCATATGAACAAGATGTTAGAGATTCGTTGGCAGATATGTAAATTCTACAATATAAATCGAATAACGCGATGAGTACGCTCATTCATCATTCAGTTTTTGAAATTATTACAATTAATTGTGCGTTCTAATCATGTAAATTTTCCCCGTAGCTTATTTCACTGTGACGCGAGCTTTCTTATTGAAACATATACTATTGCTAGCAGGCTCCGAATCAACGAAGGAGATTTCTTGTTACAACTGAAATGGACTCCGTTGTTGAAAAATTAACAGAAATGCTTGTTATTTCGTGGCTATCAACAGTGCAGCGTTTGTGACGCTCAGTGTAAGCTTCGAGCCCATGTTTCAATTTTAACATGGATCTTGATATCGTATGTTTGTTTGTACGTATTTGCCCATTTTACATTACCTTTGGCAACCAATAGTTCAATTTTCATTGGTATTCCTTAGCAAATTACGACTGGGTTTTCCTTAGTAAACCAGTTTTAATTTACTAGTGAGACGCATTTTTTTGCAACATCACGTCTTGGAACGAGCCTTACATGTTGATGAAGTTCCAGGTCGTACACTTTCGGCATCTTCTCTCTGATATCGAACCCATGACAGGGATTATCGCCAATTTATGAGCGGCCTTCTAGCTGACGCCCATAGCGCGGCTATAAATTTCCGCTTGCTGCGTGCCTAGCTTGTAGCTTGTACTAGTGGTACACTCTGGGAAATAAGAGATGCTTTGTCCTAATAGCGATTCACTCTTTGTCCTCATGTGGGTCGTCATAACTCTTTTCGGCCTGGTACATGGGCGTATCAGTGCTACGTCCTGCCTCATGCTCGTGCTGTGGTTTGGAAAGTGTGTCAATACATTGACAATAAATGACTCACTAATTTTTCTCAGTGTATGTTGCTCAGCATTCTAGCGTCTTCAACTCTGTCCTTGTTTGGGCAATCGCAGCCTCACTGGTGCGTGTGGCTGTGCCGCCTGCTCCTGCGTGTGGCTGCGTGTACGTGTGGCTGGCGTACGTGTAGCTGCGCGTATGTGTGGCTAACGTGTGGCTGTGTGTACGTGTGGCTGCGCGTATGTGTGGCTAACGTGTGGCTGTGTGTAGCGTGCGTGTGGCTGCGTGTACGTGTGGCTGCGCGTGCGTGTGGCTGGCGTGCGTGTGGCTGCGCGTGCATGTGGCTGCGTACGTGTGACTGCGTGTGTGTGGCTACGCGTACGTGTAGCTGTGTGTGCGTGTGGCTACGCGTGCGTGTTTTTTTGCGTGCGTGTGGCTGCGCGTGCGTGTTTCTTTGCGTGCGTGTGGCTGCGTGTAAGTGTTTTTTTTTTGCGTGCATGTGGCTGTGCGTGTGGCAGAGCTCTGGTCTGGTCCAGCAACTGTGGTGCGTGTGTTGCTCGGTGCGGCGACTACAGACATCGGGGGCAATGCTCCCTCAATTGGCATCTAATTAACTTATTAGGACTACGTGCAGCTTCTACACTTTCTTACTTCTCCATTAGGCGCATGTAAACCATACGTCATTTCTTCATTAACGTCTAAGCACTTTTTTCGCGCAGCACTGAATATGATGTAGATATGCTAGTGTAATTTTTTTTCATTTCTCGTGCATTTTTCACATGTGAAGCACGTATCGATTTCGACTAAGGTTTCTATTTAGTCTTCTTCACTAATTTATATCATAATTTTACTCCTTATTTATCACTCATCGAAATTTTGTTCGCAAATATTTTCCCCTCATCGAGGAAATTTCCCTCACTTTCTTCAAAACCTTCAAAAATAAAATTAATTTATTGGGCACGATGATAAATTTTGAAGCCATTCGTCCTGATTTGTATTCGTGTCAGTCAAGCCACTGCCAGTCCGAAAGGAAATGTTGGTGTAAGTTAAATATAAACCAGTCTTACCTTAAACTTTATGTAGCCTACATGCCAGGGATCGATAATAAGTGTGTTCACCGTGCTAAATTATTATTCCAAGCAAGATTCATAGTGCGCTAAATTTCACTTTATTAAATTTCCGAATAAGTAGTTCATATTTATTGCTGTTGCTTAGTATTTGTAGTCAGCAGTCATGTCATGACTTGACATATAAGAAACCCTGGTCACGAGGCAGGGATTTATGATGCTCAGTATATGTAGTCAGCAGTCATGTCATGACTTGACATATAAGAAACCCTGGACTCGAGGCAGGGATTTATGGTGCTCAGTATATGTAGTCAGCAGTCATGTCATGACTTGACATATAAGAAACCCTGGACTCGAGGCAGGGATTTA